CAACTCTATATAGGGTTTCCTTGGAGCTGTTGGTGGGTTTGAACCACCAACCTTGCAGTTCAAGCTGCCTTTTACGGTCCAGTGCTTTATCCTACAGTGCCATATAGGAAGCCCTGGTTTAGTATAGGGTAGTTGTCCAATAAATATTTACTATGTAAATGAATAAAAGTGAGTACCTAGAAGCAAAATCTATTTAGGAGTTAGTAAGATGTAAGAAAATAATTCAAAATGTACTGAACATATAGTATATACTAAAGGAGTCCTGGTGTGGCACTGCGGGTTAATGTGCTGGACTACAAAGTCATTTGAACCACAAGGTTGGCAGTTCAAGCTCATCATTCACTTCTTGGAAACCCTATACAGGGTCTCTATGGGTCAGAACCAATTCAACGGCACTCAACAACAACAGTATATATTAGGTACAGTGCTAAATGCTACAGGTACGATGATGAATAAGAGACTGCATATGCATACCAGATAGTAGGAACTATTTCTATCAGGTAGGAAATTCAGACTAATATACATTGTTGTTGTTAGGTGCCATCAAGTCGGTACCGACACATAGTGACTTTATGCACAGCAAAACAAAACACTGCCTGATCCTGGGCCAACCTCACTCTTGTTGCCACACTTGAGTCCATCGATGCTGCCACTTGGCCAGTCCATCTTGTTGGGGGTCTTCATCTTTTTCTCTGACCCTCCACCTTACCAAACATGGTATCCTTCTCCAGTGACTGCTCCCTCCTGACAATATGTCCAAGGTATGAGAGACGAAGTTTGGCCATCTTGGCCTCTAAGGAGCACTCTGGCTGCACTTCTTACAAAATGGATCTATTGGTTCTTTTGGCAGCCTATGGCACCTTCAATATTCTCCTCCAACACAATAACTCAAAGGCATCAATTCTTCTACGGTCTTCCTTATTCACTGTCCAGCTTTCACTAATATATAGACAGTGAAAATACAGTACAGAAATAGGGGAATAGTTTGATACGCGGGCAAACTATTGATCATCCTGGGGTGTGGTCAAAACCTTGCAGAAAAAGTGACATTTAAGCTGAAACCTTAAAGAAGAATAAATTAAACAGATTAAGGATGATGTGGAGGGAAAGAATTTTCAAGAAGAAATAACAGACTATTGGGTATTAGTCATGGTGTGGCACTGTAGGATAAGCACTGGACTGCTAACTGCAAGGTTAGTAGTTCAAAACTGCCAGTCGCTCCTCAGAAACCATATACAGGGTTACTATGAGTTAGAATGGACTCAGTGGCACTAACAACAACAAACAACAATGGACAGAAGAAGGAGTCAGGAAGGCTGCCCAGATGTTGACCTACACACCTGAGTTGACAGTACACTATTCACTGAAATAGAGCAGATAGGACAAGGACAGGTATAGGGAGGGAGAAGAGTATGTCAACTTTTATGAAACTGAGATTATTATTACAGACTCAAGATGTCCTCTATGTAGCTGACTATGGAACTGTTTATTGGATTCATGCTTAGCACTCGTTTGTACTAGAAAGAAAAGACAACATGACTACATGGGAAGTAGATGAAGAGAGACTATTTAGTGCTGAGTTGTTTTCTAGGGGGAAGTTAAATCCTTTTCATCCATAAGGTGAATTTGCTGAACTAGCCACTATTCAGGAGCTCACAGCCTTGCAGAAAGCTGCATTCCCCAAGCCTCGAAGGAGTCTCATTGTCTGAACACAACCATTTTTCAGTCTGACTCTGGGGGTGCGTGTTTGCCATTCAGAACCTACTATATTTTACTGCACCTCCTGACATTGTTACACAACATTTATTGAAAGCACATTTGATGGTAATGAAGTTTCTATTAACTATGATTAAATCTCATAAAGCACCTGAAGATAATTTAAGAAGTGCAGAAGCAGAAAATGAAACATTCGGTTTAGTACATTAGGAAACATAATTGATTAAATTATCTCATTTACAATAAGTGCTTTCATGAGCTATGCAGTGCACATATTTCCCCCAGTTTGTCATTATGATTTGCCAACAGATATCTTAAGACCTCACTTTCTTCTTACACCTCCCTGCAACTCAAAGCTTCCTGCTCTGCCCGCCTGCTCACAGAGACCTGCATGCGAGGCTCTGAGTGATGTCTTCTCTCCACCGGGCCTTGCCAAGGATCATGTGTACAGCTATATATAGGAACGGGTTGTTTCTCAATTATCTTCATAATTGACTTTGATTTTGCATCAGTAATGATTCATGTAGTTTTAAACTAAACCCTTCTTTCACTGAACAGCCGCAGTCTGAATCTGTATAATGCACTCCTAACCATGCAGCTTATAGAACCCAGTATGGATTCCTCTGGGAGCTTTTTGCAATCACATTGATTCTGCTAAGGTTTTATTTTTAGGAAATCACAAATTAAAACAGTTTAAGCGATTCTGTTGCAGTATCCAGCAATTAAGCATGGTGCTCAGGAGCAAGAACCCCAAGCAAAAACTAATTCCGTGGTCCCCAAGGACTAGAAATAGCTACTGTGGGGTTTATGGCTGGGAGTACAGATGTAACCAAATTAGAATGGCACAGGACTCACAAACTAAGCGTGAAATTAATTTTAAAAACACACACATATCTATTTCTAAGTAACTCTCATATTGGCCACTATACCAATACCTACGGTCTTGCTTGTGCTTCCCACCAGAACCAGCAAATGTCATATGCTCCTTTACTGGTGGTGATGGTGGTGGTGTGCCACCGAGTCAGTTCTGACTCATTGCATTTCTGAGGCTGTAAATCTTTATGGGAGCAGAAAGCCTTATCTTTCTCCTGTGGAGTAACTGGTAGATTTGAACTACTGACTTTGTAGTAAGGTTAGCAGCCCAGCTAATAATCCATTACTCTACCAGGTGTCCTTACTCCATGACTAGGAGGACGTTAAGAGTCCACCCACTCCAGTTTACAAATTACCCTGGAGGGGCTTCACTCAGGCACAGACCTTACCTTTAGTGAGGGATTGCTTCCTCTCACTCTCAGTATGTGCATGCATGTGCATGTATGTGCATGTATACACACACACACACACACACACACACACAGAGTTTCCTCATCCTTAATCTTCCTAGAAATTCAAATCAAACATGCATGATGTCAAAGGACTATAACCAATATACTAATGATCCCTCTAGGGGCAGCAGGCAGCACGGAAAAGGAGATAAAGATTGTTTTATCAAGCCAATAAGGGCAGAGACAACCTACCTGAAGCAGCAGCTAATGAAGTATGGACAGTGTGGCTTAAAAAGGACCTCTCATTATCTCCTGACCCCTTTCAGAGGTGTCTGTTTGCTTTTTATACTTCTTGTTGTTGTTAAGTGCTGTCGAGTTGGTTCTGACTCATAGCGACCCTGCATAGGGTTTCTGAGGAGTGGCTGATGAGTTTGAACTGCTGACCTTGCAGTTCAAACTGACCTTGTGGTCGAGTGCTTAATCCTACAGCTCTGCTGTTGTTGTTGCTGTTAGGTGCCATCGAGTCAGTACCAACTCATAGCGACCCTATGTCCAGCAGAACAAAGTACTGCCTGATCCTGGGTCAAACTCACTATTGTTGCTCAATTCATGCAACGGAGTTAGCTAAGAAACGCTGCCCCTTTTATACTAGGACCAGGAAATACTGGGCATGGACAGCTTTTACATTTTTTATAAACCAAACCAACCAGGCAGTTGTCTTACATTCTTACTGCTATAAGCTATATTGCTAATGCTCTTAGGCTTGTGTTTCTCTAGTTTGTTTTACTTATCAGAGGGCTTCCAAAAGTTCTTGGGAAAATTTCATTATCTTTTATTTCCATTTTTACATGCACATTTTGAAGCTCCCTCGTATTTCTGAGTGTATGAAAATATCCTGGAAATGTATTGAACTGAAATGCTCAGAAGCTACACCTTTCCCAGAGACTCAAATTCATTTGGTCTGAGGTGTGGGCATCTTTAATCATATGCCCTTACCACAAGATTCTGAAATAATTCTCCCAGTCATGATTCTAAATCTGGGCTGTACATTGGAATCACATGATGAATGTTAAAAAATAGAGATTTCTGTGTTGTACACCAGCAACCACTTGCTGTTCAGTCCATTTGAATTTCTGGCAACCCTTTGTCTGTCAAAGTAGAATTTTGCCCCAAAAGGTTTCCAATGGCTGGTTTTTCAGAAATACATTTTCAGACCTTTCTTCTGAGATACCTCTGTGTGGATTTGAACCTCCAACATTTCAGTTAGCAACTGAGTGTGCTTACAGTTTGACCTACCCATGGATCCGCTTCTGTTCTAATCTTCCTTCCCACTCTAAATTCTGATGTAGATGGTCTGAGGTATAGCCGATTCTAACATGCAGTCAAGGTTGAGAACCACAGAATTACATGCCAAACTGCCAAGCTCTCCAGCAGTGCTCTGTTCCCCAACACTACTAGGTGCATAAAGTTGAGATAATGCAAAACTTCCCCAGGAAACGGGTCTGTGTATAGGGAGATCAAGCCACAACTTAAACCAAAGCCTCAGTTTACAATTGTCACTGGTTCCTCATCTACCTATTTCCAGGGGCTCAATGGGAGGTAAAAGTCACAGTACATTCTTAGCCCACCCTCTCCTCTCCTCCTAGACACAGAGGCTGTAGTCAGAGTTTTGCCAAAGGCTGTTCTCATGAAAGTGTGTACTGACAAATATTTATTAATTTTAGCACTACAAATCTCAGAAATAAGAATCCAAGATGACATTTGCAGAGACATGGACTTACAGGCAGAAAGAATCAAGAGGAGAGATTTACTTTTGCTCTGAGGGAGGGGAGGGATGTACATATCTCTTTTCGATTTAAACCCTCTCATATGCGGCTTCAAATTCACTGAGGAGAAGACCTGAAAGCCCTGGATCTATCTTTCATACGAACTTCAATGTTGTTTGGCTCCTAAACAAACACAACAATAAGGCAGCAATTATGAGAATAAATGATAACCACAAGAGCAAAAACAACTTACTTTGGGGTTTTATTTCATGAAGAGGTTTTTTATCTAAAAGAAAGAAAGAGAAAGAAAGTTGCATTTAATAAATTTACAAGGAGAAGACAAATTTCTATATCACTCTATGTCTAGTTCTATAAAGGAAACGGTTCCTCATTTTACAGATGATATGACTTATGGTATCTATATTTTCCTTTTTACTCTATTTTTTATTCTTCGCTTTCCAAATATTTTTCTATAATGATTCTTCATTACGTAAAAAAAAAAAAAAAAACCTCCCCTCAGATTTGCTCGAGTTTCTCTCAGTTGCATTTACTAGTTTCTTTATCAGCATGATGAAGGCAGTGAGCTTGCAGCCTGTCCCTCTTTTATAGACAGCCAGAAGACTGCTCAGTTGAGGGATGCCATTTCACTATATATGATGATAGAAAAATGAACCTGTGAATAAATATTTAAAGGGATACTGCAGTGGTCTGCAGTAACCACCTGCTTGGATGAAAAAATCACAGATTCTAACTGCTTAGCCATTATTGGTGGGCTTTGGGGGCATTGTTATGAGCACACTACAGTTGTATTTTAGAAATCACTCTATTTTTTTTTATTTCACATCTTCATTACCTGTTAAAATCTGAATCCTCTCTCAATGGAGAAAGTGTCATTTTATAATTATTCTGTTTTTTTGTTTTTTGTTTTTTGTTTTTAACAGAGCACAGGTCAGAGGAGGTGCAGAAACAGAAAAGCCATATGCTTAAGTGGGGCCACAGGAGCCAGAGTTCAGGAGAGATTCTTATCAATTCTCCTACCCCTCTCTATCCACTCTGTCTCCTCATCTCCCAGCACAAAACCACTCAGTCTGCAAGTCATGTTGAGACTAGGTGTCTATTCTTTACTTTGGCTTTTATACCATAGACTCTCCAATACCCATCTCGCTGGCCCTGGCCCAATCCCAGATCAACACAACTCTACCACAAGGCAGAAGGCTTGGAAAATCACACTTCTGACTCCCTGTCAAGATTTCAGAGACTTTGTGTGATGTTTTATCCATCTTATTAGAACCTTCTTAGAAAACCCTATATATCGTGGCTATGGGTCAGAACCAACTCAAGAACAACAACAATTATTACCTTCTGAAGAGACTGATCGAATACCATCAGAATAAAAGTACTGAGGTGGTACAAATAATTAATGCAGGTTGGAGGTTGAAGTTCACCCAGAGGCACTGCAGAAGAAAAGCCTGGTGATCTAAAATGCTGAGTCAAAAATTATCCACACTTTCGTTACTTTAAAATTTCCATCCATGTCCATGGCTGATGACAACATTGAGTATGCACGAGAAATGATTCTATAGGATAGATGAGTGCCAGTGGATTATGTGACAAATCATTTTCAAATCAGCCATGGCTCTGCTTATGAAATAATCCATGACAGACTTAGGTTTTAAAAAGTTTGTGCAAGATGGACACCAAAACAACTCAAGGAAGATTATAAGCAGAAGTGTTTGGACACCTGCAAACAAAATTTGGACCAGTACTTGAAGGAAGATTAAAATGTCTTTAAAAACAGTTTTACTGTTGATGTGACATGGAGTCATCGCTATAAGTCTTAACTAAATGGCAGAGTATGGAATGGAAAGATCCTCAATCGACAAACAAAATAAAGTTCAGAAGTCAACCGTCAGCTGGATAATTGATGCTTACAGTTTTCTGGGATTCTCAAGGAACACTATCAGAAAAAAGGTTCAACAATCAGCAGTGAGAACCTCAGTGACAAGCTGAAGCCTAAACTTTGGATTAAATGCAGAGAACTACTATCTATCGGTATTGTGATCTTGCATGACAATTCACATCCATATACTTCTGCCTACACTGTTGACACTTTGCAAAAACTTCATTTTTAAGTGTTAAAGCAACCTCCCTACAGTCCTAATCTTGATCTATGGGACTTTCACCTGTTTGATCCCTCAAAAGCAGTTCTTTGAGGCTAAAGATTCACCTCTGATGAAGAAGTGAAGAGAGTGGTACATTTGTGGCTCACAGCTCAGCCTAAAACATTTTCTAATAAGGGAATACGAAAGTTTGCTGACAGATGGACAGTGTATTGAAAAGCAAGGAGATTATGTTGAAAAACGATGTACATTCTATAGCCAGAGTGCTGATAATTTTTGACTGACCCTTGTACTTCTGAAAAATCTGCCATTCAAAACCTTATGGGTCACAGTTCTATTGGGATACACATGAAGTCACTATGAGTCACAATCAACTCAGTGGCAACAGGTTTACAAGGACTGAGCTGTTGTTAATCATTCACAAAATCACACAATGGTAGGGGGACCTTGAAAGGTCACCTAATGTTGTCCCTTCCTCCGTTTGTCTGAAGGCAAGCCAAGTGGGGCAAGAAACTGTCATGCTGGATTATGTTTTGAACTGAATCAAATCTGACACAGTACACATTTGAGAACTTCATAAATATTATCTGACTGATTGCATCGGAACTCCTTGCAGGCAAGCAGGCAAAACTATATTGAGAGTCCTCCATGGAATATTTCCCTAACCCACTCCTGCATATACTACTGATTTTACCAGAAACTCCTTGCAATATACAAATGCACAGAGCAGTAAATAGAGGTCTTGAGTATTTTGTAACTTGATTTATTGTGGAAGTAGCTTCAAAATTATACTCTTTCAATTGTTCCACCACTTATTTTTTGAATGCCAAGAGGAAGTTAGCTGGAAAAAGGTGATTTTAGGTAAACCTGTCTTTAAAATCAAGAGTCTTCACATAATGTAATAACTTATTCAAGTTGATATAATAATATTCAAACTTTTACAACATCAGGTTTCTGGAATGAGAGAAGTCTTCATTCTCCTTACTGCAGAGATTCAACATCAGTAGTTTACCCGAGAACAGGTGGTACCTCCTGATGTCCAGATGTTAATGCACTCAAGACTTAGAATAAAATGACTTTGGTGGTTTTAACCTAACTTCAGATTTTGCTTATTTCATGATATCTGAAAGCATTTGGCAGGCCAGGGCTAAGACATCTGAAAGAGATGCATTGCCAGAACTACACAAGGAGACATGCAGAACATCTGTTTAGGACTCTGGCTGAGCTTAACAGTATTTTCTTATTTCTAAACCACAGGAATGAACATGATGCCGGGAAGCTAAATGAAACTCCATTAAAAAACAGGTGAGATGTACAACTCCTCCCCTGAAAAATAAATCTAATATAGCTAAGCTATAATAAATAAAACGGGGCAGTGGAGTTCTACTGGATATAACTCTGAATGGAGAAACAGTGAATGGGGCTGAGAAGGCCAGGTCTCAGGTCCCAAGGCAAAAAACTCCGTCCATGAAGACAATAGGGCCAGAAAGTGGGATCCTTTCTTTTCTCATCTAGCTATAGTGTCACTGTTATTGGCTGGATGGCACTGTGGAATTAGTGAAGCCTCTGAGGATTAGAACTTGATTTAAATTTGGATTTGTCCACATACAATTCGTGTGCCCTCAGTGTTCTGCAGAGTAACATCAGAGTAATAATGACCTTGCAATCAGAAAAAGTGGGTTAAACACTGAATTGTTAACTGAAAGGTCAGTAGTTTGAACTCAGCGTCCATACCATGGGAGAAAAATGAGGCTGTCTACATCTATAAAAAGGAGCTCTGCTAGTGTAGTGGTTATGAGTCTGGCTGCTAACCTCAAGGTCAGCGGTTTAAAACTACTAGCGTTCTATGGGAGAAAGACGATTACAGCCCTGTAAACCCCTATTTAGGGTTGGTATGAGCCAGAACTGACTTGACGGCACTCCAACACTTCTATAAAGATTTACAGTCTTGGAAACCCTATGGAACAGTCCTATCCTGTCTTATAGGGTCTCTATGGGTCAGGACCGACTTCAAGGCAGTAGGTTTTGGTGTTTCAGGTGGGTACAAAGGATTAAGCAGGATAGATGTAATGATGCCAGTACAGGGGTAGCAAATGCCTGGCATCATTAAATGGTGTGGCGCTGTGGGTTAATGCGCTGGATTACAAAGTCATTTGAATCACAAGATCTGTGGTTCAAGCTCACCAACCCCTGCTAGGAAACCCTATACAGAGTTGCTGCAGGTCGGAACCGACTCGACGGCACTAAACCACAACAACAATAAAACAATAATTTCAACATGTTATAATCATGATTGTCATCATCCTTCTTTCCAAGAAAATAAAAAATAAATTACTAGTTTTGCTACTTGGAGACAAGTCACACCTCTAAATTAGAAATTCTAGTGATTTTTCAGGGATATCTGAAGCTTAAGAAATTTATGTTTAGTCCTGGTTCCCCCATTATGTGACTAAGAGCAACTCATGATGTGTTTTCTAATATGAAAAAGAAATTCAGGGGCCAGAATATCCCTATAAGCCCTTCAGCTTAAACCCTCTGTAAATCTGAGGTAACTGCAAAAAACATTTCCTAGAGATCTATTTAAAATCATTTCCAAGATTATAACAAATGATGCTACCCTGCCATGGAATCTGTTAGATTTTTGTTGTTGCTATGTAGATGAACTGAGTCAGTTCTGACTCATAGTGACCCTATGCACAACAGAATGCATCACTGCCAAGTCCTCATAATAGCTGTTATTTTTTAGCCCATTTTGCAGCTGCTGTACCAATCCATTTCACTTAGGGTCTTCCTCTGTTCATTAACTTCACCAAGCATGATGTCCTTTTCCAGGGACTGGTCCCTTCTGACAACATGTATATGAGTCTTTCCAGCCTCACTTTTAAGGAGCATTCTGGTTTTATGTCTTACAACACAGATTTGTCTACTATTCTTGCTGTCCATGTTGTTGTTGTTAAGTGCAGTTGAGTCAAGTTGGACTCATAGCGATCCTATATAGGGTTTCTAAGGAGCAGATAGTAGGTTTGAACTGCCAACCTGTAGTTAGAAGTTCATTGCTAATTCTACAGTGGTGCATCAGAATGCCATAGTATACTTAAGTTTCTTCACCAATAACATAGCTCATGATCTGTGTGTTCAAGTTCATCATATCTTGTGAATCAGTGTG